CTGGCCACGGCTGTCACATGATCGTCTAAAGACAGCCGAGCATCCAGGAGGACGCCCAGGTTGCGGGCCCTCTCCGCGGGAGCTAATGACTCGCCCCCGATAGCCAGAGATGGAACCAACTGGCTATGATGTGACACCGGAAACCACAGCCACTCGGTCTTGGACGGGTTGAGTCGAAGCCTGTTCCTCCCCATCCAGATTCGCACGGCCTCCAGGCACCGGGACATCACTTCCGCGGCATCGTTGGGGTGGTCTGGGGTGGAGATGTACAGCTGGGTGTCATCTGCGTACTGATGAAACTCCACCCCGAAACCACGGATGATCTCACCCAGTGGCTTCATATAAATGTTGAACAGGAGAGGCGAGAGGACCGATCCCTGTGGTACCCCACAAGTGAGGCACCTCGAGGTCGACCTCTGCCCCCCTGCCAACACAAATTGCGACCGGTCCGAGAGGTAGGAGAACCACCGTAAGACGGTGCCCCCCAAACCCAAACCCTCTAACCGGTGCAACAAGATACCATGGTCGATGGTATCGAAAGCCGCTGAGAGAGCTAACAGGACCAGGATAGAGGAGCAGTCTCTATCCCGAGCCCTCCAGAGATCATCAACCAACACGACCAATGCTGTTTCCGTGCTGTGCCCAGGCCGGAAGCCGGACTGGCGCGAGTTTAGATAGACAGTTTCTTCCAGGTGCTGAGGGAGCTGTCGTGCCACCACACTCTCAACAACCTTCGTAAGAAAGCGAAGGTTGGAGACAGGACGGTAGTTGGCCAAAACAGCCGGGTCCAGGGAGGGCTTCTTGAGGAGGGGCCTCACCACCACCTCTTTAAAGGCGGCCTGCAAGAACCCCTCACTCAAAGAAGCGTTGACGATTCCCTGAAGCCAGCCTCGTGTAACCTCCCGGGAGGCCAGTACCAGCCAGGAGGGACATGGGTCCAGTAAACATGTGGTGGTGTTCAGCCGTCCCAACATCCTGTCCATATCCTCGGGGGTCACAGGATCAAACTCTTCCCACAAAATGGACTCAAGACCTGCCTCCATTGGCCCGCCTGAACTAGTCCAATCGGAGGCTAACCCGGCCCGGATCCGATCGATTTTGTCATGCAGGTAACACCCAAATTCCTCTGCCCGACCCTGCAAAGGAACATCCCGGACCCTCTGATGAAGGAGGGAACGGGACACCCTAAACAGGGCGGCAGATCGGTTACCTGCAGACGCGATAAGAGCGGAGAAATATTTTCGTTTCACCGCTCTTATCTCTACTAGGTAAGTCCTTAAATGGGACTTTACCAATTTCCGATCGGATTCGGAGCGGGTGGCCCTCCAATTACTCTCTAGGCATCTCTTCCGATGCATCATCACCCTCAGCTCCTTGGAGAACCAAGGAGCCAAGGTAGACCGGCATCGGGTGAGGGGCCGCAAAGGCACGACCCGGTCCAGGGCCCCCACGGCCGCACCATCCCAGGCGGCCACCAGGTCCTCAGTCAAGCCGCGGGTCAATGTCTCAGGTATTGGCCCAAGCTCCGTCTGGAACCTCTCAGGGTCCATCAGGCGCCTGGGGCGGAACCATTTCATCACTTCTGGTTCCGCCTCCCCGCGGTGGGGCATAGCGGTAGGAAAGGCCAGCCGAGGGAGAGAGTGATCTGACCATGACAGGGGCTCAACAACTATTTCCCCTAAACCACGATCACTCAGCCACTGGCCGGAGGCAAAAACTAAGTCCAGTGTGTGTCCTCCGGTGTGGGTAGGGACATCTACTAATTGGGTGAGGTCCATGGCCGTCATGGAGGCCATGAACTCCCGAGCCACCTCAGATGCTTCACCTAATGATGGCAGATTGAAATCCCCCATGACTAACAGTCTGGGGGTCTCAATCGCCATCTCGGCTATCACACTGAGAAGCTCGGGTAGGGCTGCTGATACATAGCGGGGAGCCAGGTATACAATCAGCAGACCCTGCTGCCTCCCATGACCCCACGTCACACCTAAGGATTCACAACCGGCAGTCTGCGGCACAGTGGTCTCCCTTGGATCCAGGCCTTGGGCTCTCGGCTCTCGGCTGGTGAAATGCACGGTAGCCTGGCGGGCACATTTCAACGAGGGGCACCCCCCCTCTTGGCCCAGCCAGGTCTCCGTAATACCCGCCAGGTCCACCTCCCCCTCCGATACCAAATCATAAATGAGGGGGGCTTTATTAACCGTGGACCTGGCGTTACACAGCATCAGCCGAAAGCCCAGGCCCTGAGATCCTAAACC